GGACTTGATCTTCAACATATATGTTTAATCATAATCATGTTGAGATGAGATTATCTTTAGTGTATCTAACTCACCAATATAATTAAATTCTAAAAATGTCTTTTTTAGTTTGACGTGTATATTGTTTTGATTGTGAAAGTATTTAAATACTTTTAATGTAACTTTTATTCATTAAGGGTATTTTGATACTTTCATAACTCAAGTTGCGCAAATTTGCATGCAATACAGACACTCAAAACTACATTGTTTCAATAATTTGGTATTAAAAAAGATTAAAAAACACATTTAAAAAATAAGAATGTGACAATCTTATGAAGTGTTTGGGTTTTTCTTTTAACATCAATTTATTAAATAGAGTACAAGGGTATGAAGTGTTTGGATTAAATGTTCAAATGTAACGTATAATTGATCGTTGATATCTAACAGATGATAATTATTGTTATTTATGATTAAAAGTATTCAATTAATTTGATTGGAGTCAAACGACTGATAACTGTTTATAAAATTCCAAAACACGTACTCTTTTAGTTTTTCCTCATAATGTTTGATTAAAACAATATCATTTAAAAAAAAATTTCACATAATTTTTTAAAAATCTAATTAATAAACACTTATCTCTTAAGATATATACATTGCTATTCTTTACTAAAAATGTTCATAAACTGTTGCGTCATTGAATCAAACTTAAACACTCATCTCTTCAGATATATACATTGCTATTCTTTACTGAAAAATGTTCATAAACTGTTGCGTCATTGAATCAAACTTAACCATAAAAGTTGCAGTCATCGTTTCCACTTTGCGCACAAACAAACAAATCATGCTGTTGATTGCATCTTTATTGGTGGAATCACATTAATATTGTAATCTCGATCTCTCACTTGAACAAAAGTAAGTAGATCAATTCAAATCTTTACCATACAATTATTAAAGTGCGAAAAAATAAAATAAAATAAAGCAGAGTCTAATCATATATACAAATTTAGTCACTCAAAATCATATGCCCAGAAGCAACACCATATTACGTGAATTTATGGTGAAATGCATGTCCTTTATTCATCTTTTTACAACGCTTTCTGTCATTCAAATTGATCACTAGCTACTTGCCTAAGGCTAAAATGAATCGCTTGACTTGTCACTTTCGTGGATTTTTTAGCTTGAAGAGATGAAGTTTAAGGTTGCTCTAAAGACCGCCATTGAAACAAGAACAAACATAAAATGAAAGTGATAACTACATCTATAGGTAATTAAGTATCTATAATTATTTGTTATATAATTTAAATTGCATCTAACAATAAAATTAGAAATATTTGATAGAAAAAGAGTCCCTAATATCAAAAAACTCGATACCTATCTAATAATGTGAGTTATATAGTTTAGAATGAATAAAATTTTTTTATTTTTTCAAAAAAGTTAGCAAAATATGGACACTTTTTCTTCTTTTTCTTTTTCTTCTTGTTCTTCGTCTTGTGGACACCTTTTTGATTTTAATGACTACTCTATCTCTTTTGGTAAATTGCCCTAATCAGAAAGAGGAAGTGCCAATCTCAGTGCTTGCTGCAAATTGCAGCTGCATCGCATTAGTAGGGTAGCAGTGTGTACTTATTTCTTCGATTAAAAGATTGAAGACAAAAATTTCAAAAACCAATCATTTTGAGTGATAATGATGCTCGTTTTAGTTGATTAATTGAGGACCCCTTTGCTTTTGTATACTTTATAGAGAAACGAGGGAGATAATGCTTGCAATGGTTGCTTATATAATTTTTTTTTTTTGTGAAATTTATGAACTGAGTTAACCCATACATACATGCAATTTGCAGATCATCTAATTCAAAATTGCACTTATAAGACTGGTTAACAAGTTTTAAGGAGCCTTAATTCATAATTATAATTGAATCTCATTGCCAATTTGTCATTTGTCTTATTTGTTTTAAGGACGATTAAGAGATTTATTGATCAAATCAATTACAAATCTTACATTGTTATTTAAGTAGTTGATAAGAATGTTGAGTTAAACTCATAACTATACCTTTCATGATAAATTAAAGATGGTATCATCAAATTAATTAATTCTTATTACATAATCAAGCAATAAAGTGTGTGCATTTGGACCAAAAATCAAGGACTAATTCAAGAAGCTAGGAAGTAGGACAATATTTTCTTTGTTTTTTTTGCAAACATTTTAGCACTAAAATAGGTCAAAGCAACACTAAAGCACATGTGCTTGTTCTAAAGCAACTTTGGACAATGTTTGACCGGTCATCTTTAACACAAAGCGAAATTGTTGTTCATGGGAAAGTCGATTTTCTACACATTTTAGGCTGATGTCTGACATATTAAACGTTGAATCAATTGAGTACACACGATGGTATGGAGGAAAAGAGGAAAAAAGGGAAAGAGATGAAAAAGGCAATGAATTAACAGGGAAAAGAGAGGACGTTGAAAGTATTGAATTTTTTTATTCTTTTCCGTGTTTTGTTTTTTGGTTAGAAAAAAAAAAAAACCACTAATTTCAAAAGAACTCATTAATAATTTCTTCTTTTCCCCACCATTAATAATTTCATTATCTTCAAATCTTAAAATTTTCTCCTTTTTCTTTATAATTTCTTTATTATTTTTTTCCTATAATCAGCTATGACACTAAACAACAATTCCCTTTTTTTTTTTTTTGGGAAAATAGGCAGTGTAATAATAATAATAAAAAAATCTAAACAGATCCTGAATCAGTCCTATTTGTTTTGCAGTGATATTTGGGCTTCATAAGTCTTGGGCTTTGTATTCGGATTGTTGCAGTCCAGTTTACTGCACATTTTGTCCAACCAACCCAGATAGTCGTTGGATTCTTTATTTCTTTAGAGCCCAATATCCCACCCAATAAATTTACCCTCAGATGGTCCTCCAATTAAAAACTCTAAATCAAACTTTGTAAGTGGAAAATCTCGCCCAACACCATCATTATTTCATTGCTGACTCTACTTAATTGTTGTTATAAGTGTGGTTGTTGAATTATTAAGGGTATTAAATTTGTATTTAATTTCATCATTTTTTCATTGCTGACTCTACTTCATTGTTAATGGAGGTGTGCTTGGGGAATTATTACGGTTATTAAATTTTTATTTAATTTAATTAATATTTATAATTTTTAAAAATGTATAATTATAATATTTAAAAATATTAATTTATAAATCAATTTTAATTTATTAAATAATAACTTTTAATTATTTTATTAATTATTAACTATCCTTAATAATTAAATCAAATAAAATTATTAATCCGCATGTTTACCCCAATGACATTGATTATAAGTTAGTGGGATCATCTTCATAAGTAACAGTTTTAAGCTTTATGAATTCCTTTTCCTATATTCTTTTATCTCCTCCCCAATTGTAATTATGTTAAAAAAGATAAAAATAAAATAAAATCATTATTTTACTGCTGACTCTACTTGATCGTTCTTTGATGCCGACTGCTTCTGTTGAAAATTGAAATCTAGCAACTGTTTTTTTTTTTTTTTTTCAACCAACCAAACAGAATCTTATACTTATTTCAGTGTTAGAAAAAAATTAGAATCCAACACATTCTGACTTATCATACATAAAGGAGTTTGAACTTGACTGGATCTTTAAAACACTCTCGTCAGGGTAGGGCACTAAACAATTTTTAATAAATGTTAAGGTTTCTTCTTTTTTTCATTCTTTTTTTTCCCCCCATCAAATGTTAAGGTTTTTTCATTTAAAATAAATAAAATTCTTTTAATTTCTTTTATGTTTTTCTCGTCCACTCGTTTCTATATATATATATAGTATTGTTTATATATATAGTAAGGAGTTATTTATACATAAATTTTATATATTATACTTATAGAATTTTAATAATTTATTTTTTTATTTTTAATATTTATGATTTATTTATATTTATTAAAGATAATTATTTTTTATTTAAAAAGTCATTATAAATTTTACCTATTGGAAGTGAAAGGATGAATAATTGAAATTTTATGTAAATATCATGTATAAATTATGTATGTAAATTGATTCCTACTAATATAGAAATCCACTTATATGCATATTTTA